ATATCGCACTAGATACATCGCATAAGACATCGGCGGATAAAAAGCAAGCTTAGGAATTCATGAAATCAAATCACAAATTGGAGCGATTCACTTGTCACTTAAGACAAAGACGTGGAATGTCCATTTCACGAAAGTTAAATAAAAAAAGTCGATCATATTAAGGCTAATGTCACACAAAAAAAATAATTAAAACTGTCTGAATTACTAAAGTTTTGTAAGCTATATAAAAAAGATAATTGAAAAACAAAAACATCACATCATTTGAGAAAGTCTTGAGTTACCATCAAATTATGGTCCAGCTGACATTAAAATCCCTGCAACAATTCGATACAGCGAGTATATCAAGAGTTCGAACAGCCAATAATCACGAACGGAACGGCGTGACGTCAAAGTCCCGGTAGAAAAGGCGCGTTGGGTTTGCTCACGTTTGGAGAGGGAAGAGCGCAGGGAACCTCACTGTCTTCACTGGATTATACAAACCAAAAGTGTCCTCAACTCCTCCTCCTTCTCAATCGTTTACAGGCTGATCCTACGGCATTCGGGACCAGCAACAACAGGCTCTCATCACAGAAAGCTCTATACAGGACAACCATCTCATTTGTTAGAGCAAACCTTTAAGCTGATTTTTACCCGTATCCAAGCTGAAGCCTACTGAAGTTGGACATTTTTGGTGCGTGTGTATGAGTGTGATGACAAACTGTCGTGGAGGAGGATGAAGATATAACCACTTGCAGAATCTGAATCGTCACTGTAGTCGTTCCTCCCAAGCATTTCGGGATTATATATTTTTTTATTCTTCGGCGATGAAATAACGGATTGTTTTTGTGTTATGAGCTGCAGCAGACACGCTCCAAGACTGATTTCTGAAAAGACAAGAACGAAAAACTGAGATCTTATGCTGACAAATGCATGTCCAAAATGTGGTACTGAAAGTTACTCAGGAAGAAATAGGAGGGTCCAGTGTCACACATGTAGAGGGGCTTCGGTAGCTGGTATGTCCTCAAAGCCCCGGAATGCTCTCATAGGCTAAACCGATCCCGTACCGGGTGCATGCTCTGCGATCTCATTTCTCTGATGCATTTCAAAGAATCTATCAGAATACGGAGTTGACATTTCTGATAAACGAATAGCGTTAAGAGCGATCAGATTCTCCGACCGGGAATTATTTAGCGTGAGAGAGAAAGAGGTCATATGAACTGCACAGGGCTAGAAGTGCGTCTCACGGAAATCTTGGGTTGCCGATCTGACGGAAACACGTGCTATTCGGTCTCATCTGCGGCAACGATGCTTTTCCACGGTCTGCCTGGAGGCGAGATGCATGGTGTTCTGGAAGAAATGGAGCGGAGAGGAAAGAGCGACTCGGCGACTATCAGCTCGGCTATAGATATGGGGGAAACAGAGACGGTAGGAGAAAGCCATGCCTCTCGCTCCAGGCGCTTGCTTGGAAATGATAACAGCCTATTTTAACTGAACCGTTATTCAAACAGTGCTATATAGAGGCCCAAAGACGGGATTTTCGACCTTGTCCATTTAAACAAACTTCAAACTTCTTCGAAGCCAAAATCTTAGGCCTGGTCTCCAACGCATTGCTTGTGAATCTTTTGCCATGGGTGGATTGCAAATTGTTATAAATCTATGATAGGCTATTCTACTATAGGCCTTTCAGTTTTTAATGGGGTACATTTCTGTTTAATTTCAACTGATTATTCGATAGAAATGGTTAAATATCAATGCATTGGCGAGCAAGAAAATCCCTGTTCGGTTTTGCACAGATTGCATTTATAGGAAATTCCTATTTTACAAATCCTTATGCAGGGCTGCTCAACTTTAAGAGATGAGAAATTCACCATATAAAAATGCATTTCTCTTTTCATAACATTTGAGAGAGTTAATTATGGTAAAATAATTTTCAGGGGCTATAATTGAACTTAAATAAATTTGTGCCGTAATATCTGTGATAACCAACAAAAAAGAGACTATGTCGAACCTTACGGTTAATTCCTTTGCATTAAAATTACTTCTTATCAGTTTCTTTGGCAACAATGAACTTTGAATGCTTAAAACTATTTTAACATTTCTAACACTAGCATTTTTTAACGCTGGCAAACCCAAAATTACAAATAAAGTAATTATTAAGAACAAAATCATATATTTATTAGGCTACTCATTTTTATTATTACGAGTATGTATCCAATATGTATTTAAGGCCACAACACGCCGAACGTAAACATAATAAAACGAGCGCACTCTTTGATTAATTTGTTTACACAATTTTCACATTTTTACAAAAGCTTGTTAATTAAATAAAATAAAAACATGTAAGCATGCATAATCAATTCTTGCGGTTATTTCTTTTTTATGCGTGGTTTCCCGTTGTAACTGGAAACATTAAAAACTTATCAATGGTGAATACACTCCTATTCTGAATTTGATCTCACGCTCCTCCCATTCTGTACACTAGTAATTCCTCAATCTTTGGACATTTTTAATCAGAAAATGCGTAAAATAGCCAAGTGTTTACAGAGCACTTTAGATACACACTATGCATATTTTATCTTTTACCATACTGCTGTTAAATGATTTGTAAAGCATAAGAGATAATGTTGTCGTGTGATTGTGTGTTTGTGCAGAACATGCCTTCCATGAGCGGGGACCGGCTGGCTCTGTGCGCGGGCTGCGGAGGAAAGATCTCGGATCGCTATTACCTGCTCGCCGTGGACAAGCAGTGGCACATGCGCTGTCTGAAGTGCTGCGAGTGTAAACTCAATCTGGAGTCTGAGCTCACCTGCTTCAGCAAAGACGGAAGCATCTACTGCAAAGAAGATTATTACAGGTGAGCAACTCACATCCTTCGCTTCAACAGTGACGTTTACCTTGTGGATAATAAATAATTAAAAGGCTAAACATGTAGTAGCAAAATACTTAGGCTACTTTTTGCCTGTAAACTATATTTTTGTGTGTGAGACGTGGTTTCGTCATTAGCCTATAAAATGCAAAACCCCAGACAAGGCATAACTAATTTTATTGCATAGCCTTTTTTTTGTAGATGATATTGCATGTAAACACGTCGTTCGTTTAAATTAATTACTAAAACACAGAAAGTACTGATATTAGCCTCGAGGCATGATTTTTGCAACACTATCTCACGACCAATTCGTACGAAGTCGACGCATGATTAAAAAGTGGCTAATTCGTACTAATTCGTACGACCTCACTCGTACTAATTCGTACGATTTGTCTTAACCCACGTGATGGTTAAGTTTAGGGGCGGGGTAAGGGGTAGGTCATTCGTACGAATTCATACGAATTGGCCAATTCGTAAAATATGTACGATTTAGCAAAATCGTATTAATTCGTACGAGTGAGGTCGTATGAATTGTTACGAATTAGCCACTTTTTAATCATTCGTCGAATTCGTACGACTTGGTCGTGAGATCGGGTTGGATTTTTGCCTAAAATTGAACGTTTTTGTTTAAATTAACGAAACATCCTGTATAGCAAAATGCCATTTTTTTTGTCTAGATATTGCTACTTGTGAAGACGTCATGATGCAATTTAATATTTCGTTTAATTCAATAATTCAGAAACTAAGCATATAGGCTAACGTAAAAAAAAAAAAAAAAAAAAAAAAAAAATCCGAGTTGTGTCTGCGTATATTTTGCCGTGTAAAGTGATTTTGAACATCATTATAAAACAAACAAAAAATGGCAAGACGATTTACCTCAAGAGCTTGATCTTAACATTATCTTTGTTGGAAAAAAGAAAGGAGCAAAACCAAAAGCGCCACTGTGTGATGTTTGGATGATAGCCTATTTATCTGACCGTGCACTGATTCTGTATGTCATTGTACAATTTAATAATCAGAGGGAGGCGAGAGGCCTATTAAGATAATCATATAAGTGAAGGCTTTACTCATTTCCACGATCAAATTAGGCTCCAGCACACGTCGATCTAAATTGTGGGTTATTTAACAATTATTTATTGGCGAGACTGAATTCCACTGCACGAGTTAACTCTATTTGTTCATGCATCCTGCTGTTTGAGGCCTCTCCTCAACATGTATTTCAGATGAAATAATTTACAAATTACAATTCCTCCAAAGGTTATTATGAAAAGCAGCGCATTTAATGTCAGGCTGGTGAGTGGTGGACTCACCTTCTGGTTGAAGTGATCTGAAAGGTCACAGCTGCTCTATTCTCCCGCAGAAGGTTTTCGGTACAGAGATGTGCCCGGTGCCACCTCGGGATCTCGGCCTCGGAAATGGTCATGAGGGCCAGGGATTTGTGTACCACTTGAACTGTTTCACCTGCACGACTTGCAACAAAATGCTGACGACTGGGGACCACTTCGGCATGAAAGACAGTCTGGTGTACTGCAGGCTACACTTTGAAACGCTCATCCAGGGAGACTTCCCACGCATTTCAATCACACGGATGTAGCGTCTAATAAAGGACTGGGCAGCACGGGCCCTCTAGGACTGTCTTAT